ATCAAAATCTACTCACTATTTACTCACCATCAAGCAGTTAACAATGAGTTTCTTTCTTCTGTTGAACACGGATGAAGATATTTTGAAGAAAGCTGAACACCTGTAACCATTGACTCCCTTTGTAGGAAAAACAAATACTATTGAAGTCAGTGGTTAGAGCTTTCTTCAAAGTATCTTCAACAGAAATAAAGAAACTCATTAAGGATTGTAATAAGGCTGAGTAAATGACAGAATTTTCAATTTTGGGTGAACTGTCCCTTTAAGCCACTGCTTGCGTTTTACACCATTAGGATAAAGATGAGCTGCTTTGTGTAATCTGGCCTATTGTTTATTGTAATAATGATAAGGGTGTGTTGGTTTATACTGAAAAATGAAAGCTGTTCAGCGGCTCCTGCTGCTTTATAATATGAATCAGGATGCTAAACGGGTGAATGATAGTCATGTCTGTATTCAGATCTATTGATTTATTCTAACTGCATTCAAAATAAAGCTCCCGCAACAAATGCTTGGTGTTACTTTTTTAATTTATGAATGAAATCAATTTGTTTATGAACAAAATCAATACGATTTTTGTCAAACAAATATTAGAGAGTGGGGTGTAACTGTCATGATATTGTAATAGAAAAAGAAAAATGAAAAAAGGTGATTATTATTATTAAATAAACCAATTAACATTATTAATAGCATATTTGTCTATTTAGATAATATATATATATATATATATATAACAAATTGTAAAATAAATAAAGCAAACCAATTATAAATTAGATAAAAATGGTTTAAGTGGAAAAAAATGGTATAAATGTTTAAAAAAAAATAAGATTTCCTTATATCGCTTACTATTTTATTATTTAAAAAAACAAATAAACATGTCAGAACGGTTTCATTCAAAAGAATAAAGGACTGAAACTGTAACATCTCTAATTTATTCTAAATGAGTCAAAAATCTAAAAATTTCAAAATGTATATTATTTTTATCAGCATAAAATAAAAATCTAAAATTAACATGAGCATAGTCTACGTATAGTGTCTGTCTATATATATATATATATATACATATACACACACACACAAACAGTACTGTCTGGTTCTCAAATCTGATTGGCTGATAGCTGTGCGATATTCTGCAATATTAGAACTTATATATATAGCTTCTTTACCCATGTGTATTATTCCACCCACATAGAAGGACAGCAAATGATTAAACTTACTATATTTCTTAGTTTAATAAATATTGCAGCTGTTGGACAACATAATGTGCCTTTGAGGAGAGGATGTAGTTGTTTAGATGGCAACTATGCAGTTTATTTATAATTATAGTGCCTATTTTAAATATTTATAATTTTGGAGATTCAGCGCCTTGGTGGCCATCAGCCTGTCATACTGAGCAGAGCAAAAACAGTTGATGTTCCGCCAAAAGATGGCAACAGAGAGCGCAAAATCAAAAAAGCTGATCAAATCCTTACAGAAAAGGTAAGTGACATTCTAAGTTGATCTCTCATGTATTTTGTAGTGCTGTATTGATTTAGTTCTATATTTATTTATCTTGTAGTGTTTGCTTTGCTTTGGCTTTTTTTGGGATTAATTATTGTGATCTCTCGATTGCAACAGAGAAATACTGGGAAATCTCTGTAGACCGATGACATTTCATATTTTTCAGCCTTATAATCTTAAAATGCAGAGCAACATGACCTGTTTTGTCATCACTTTAGACATTACACTAGAGAATCATTCAAATACTAGCTCTAAAGTAACGTTGGTGGATTAGCAATGGTTTCTGCTGTTCTGAGGTCAGCTGCAGATGTGAATGAATGGCAGAAGAAAGTAGTTCCTCATACAAAAGGATTTTGAGACTCTCCATGTTTGATTTTTTTTTTAATATACATTATTATGCCATTTAACTGTTGTATAAATGGAACATTACACGAGTAGCAGTGCGATGTGGCTGTATATCGTCACTGGTGGGACACTAAGGCACTCAGCTTGCAACCAGTGCTGATATACAGCCACTTCGCACTACGATGTGTGATATTGCTCGTATATACTGTACTTATTTTTTTTCTTAGAAAGTTCAAAATCAAATAACTGAACAAATAAAAAAATATTAAATATATTTTCAAACACAGAACAGTATCAAGTGTATGTGTTAATGTAATGTATGTATCTCAACACTCCAATGTACAAAAAATACAGACATACAGGAAATACAGCCAAATGTTCATCTTTTTTTTTTGTAAAATCTGTATTTATTTATGATTTACAAAAGCCTATGTAACAACCATTAAAATGAATCAAACGAATTCATCTTTAACCTAAAATGAAAACACGAGTGTGTGTGTGTGTGTGTTTGTGTATACGGTGTCAGTTTACGTTTCTCAAAGTGGCAAAAAAAGGAAGGATACTGACATTACCCTTTATGCATCATCTGAATGTACAAAGTCAGAGTTTTCTGGAAAATTATATACACAGGCGCCAACAGGACTAGACTACCAATGAAGAGACGCAGAAGATTTAAAGAAACGTCTGCAAATACTGAGAGCCGAGGGGGAAAAACTGTGCTGAACTCAATCCAATCCAACCTGCAGACTCATAAATACAAACTAATCCGTCACCAGTTCAAATAAATACACCTGCGACCTCTTCATTTAAACCCTCTCTCTCTGTCTTTAACATTATACTACCATCTAACTTAGTTTTAGCCATCGTCTGCTTTAAATCGAACACAAAAGAGAGAGATAGAGAGAAACTCTGGGAATTAGAAAATCCTAAATGTTTTTATATATAAAAGTGGTAAACCTCAGCGCTCTCACGGAATGACAGTAAAAAATAATCAGAAACGACTACATTCTCAATAAAGATTCACAAGTGGTGCTAACAAGGTCATGTTTGCGCAAGATAATTCAAATCCAGACACACACACACGAAAAAAAAAAAAAAAAATGGCGGAAAGGTGCCTGTGTATCCAACAGAGGAAATAAAAGTAATAAACAGTGCGACAAAACCGTGAGCCTCCTATATATATATATATATATATATATATATATATATATATATATATATAAATATATACACATAAATATATATATATATATATATATATATATATATAAATAAATATATATATATATATATATATATATATATATATATATATATATATATATATATATATATATATATATATATATATATATATATATATATATATATATATATATATATATATATATATATATATAAATAATGGAGTCGTTCTGAACTGTAAGCTGTTTTGGTAACACTTTGTAATATCTACACACTATGAATCATCTAATAAGCAAATAATCTAATAATAAGTAAATAGTGAATTCAATATCTGTTAAGCATGAACTCTACATTAATAGATGTTAGTAGGCAGTTTATAGATACAGCTGCACATGCTGTCTTCTTGACTTGACCATTCTGTTTTCATAACTTATTACCTATTAATTGTTCATTAGTAAATTCAGCATTGCATTATTTACAACTAATTATTTAAAAATAGTTGATGCTATTTTAATATCATTCACAATGCATACGTCAGGGGAGTCCAAACTCAGTCCAGGAGGGCCGGTGTCCTGCAGATTTGAGCTCCAACATCCCTCAACACACCTGCAAAGATGTTTCTAGAAAGCCTAGTAAGAGCTTGATTAGCTATCCCGGGTGTGTCTTGATTGTGGTTGGAAGTAAACCTCGCAGGACACCGGCCATCCAGAACAGAGCTTGAACATGCCTGGCGTAAGTAAATCATTAATAAACTATTTAAATTAACATTCATTTATCTTATTATTCAGGCATATAACAATAGTTTGTATGTTATTAAATGCTTTATTACATCAACTAATCTAATGTAAGGGCTGTTTATGCTTTACGAATCATTTATAAATAACAATTAAAGGCTCAGTTAAATTCAAAACGGGTAAAACAGAAAATAAAAGGACTTTATTGATTTCAATACATTTGAAGATACAAATATGAAACTGTATCGAGTGAAAAATATATCTTTGCAATCTTATGATAAATAAAATGTCTGTGCAGTTTAAACATCGCTAAATAACACTGAAATTTTGTATCATACACTGTATATTGTTAAATTATTATATTATTGTTTTATATAATTGTATTTATTTCTAATAGTATTTTGACACTCCTGTTTAAAGTGTGCAGTCATTTTATTTTTTAGATAAGACTGCAACATGCATTGTTCATTTAATACTGAGCCTTTAATTGTCCTTTATAGGAGATTTATAAAGCATATACAGTCCTCACTTTAATCACAAAACTGCATTGAGTTGAGTTAATAAAGCATTTAATAACAAGCATAGTGACTATTAGTAAATGCCTGAATAATAACATATATAAATGTTTATTTGAATAGTTTATTAATCATTTACGCACTCATTCTGAATGATTCTTAAAGCCACCAACTACTCTTAAATACAAATGGTTTATAAATCATGCAATACTGAATTTACTAATGAACATTTAATAGCTAATAAAGTATGAAAACACAGTATTATAAATACAGTATAATAAAAGTCAAGAAGTCAGCATGTGTAGCTGCATTTATAAACTGCTTACTAACATCAATCAGTGTAAAATTAATGCTTAATAAATAATGAATTCACCATTTGCTAATGCTTAATAGATGATTCATAGTGTGTAGCTAAAAAGTGTACGGCTGTTTTTTTTCATTGGTCAATCATATCGGCACTTATATTTCGACAAAAAGCAAAACGATAGTGTAAAGATGAATAAAATAACACCATAAAATATCCCACATTACTGCCTATTAAAAAAAAAACTATAAAAAGCATAATTTTCTGAATTTCACAAACAAAAATAGACCCCCTTCATGTCATCTGACGTCTCTTATTCAGAGAATTAAAAGAATTTACAGTGCTTTCTTATAATATATCTCTTTTCCAGGGGAATATGGTCTCTTATTGCAGCTAATCGTCCAGTTATTCAATAAACCCCAAGTGTGTGTGTGTGTTTTTGTGTGTGTGTGGTGGTCACAGATTGGCATGGAGTCCTGTGTTTTGAGCTCTACTGTTTTATGTTGAGTTCGTTCTCCAGCTCCATCAGCTTTCGGGACGCTTTGACTTTATTGGAGACCTCTTTCCCCTGCGAGAAGAGTCTCTGGCGCTCCTTGAAGGTCAGGTTTTCTGGAGCTCCTCCTATTGTGTTCTCTTGATCCGGGCTGCTGTTATACACACACACACACACACGCACACATTAGAGATTGAAGAAACAGAATCTCTACTGTCTATATTATATCTATAAATAAATAAATCATTCAGTGCAGATAAATCAATCAAACAAATGAAATGCGTGTGAGTAGAGTCTCCTCACCCTTTGGTCCACTTGTCTCGCGGGTCTTTATACACCTCTCCTGATACTAGTCCTGTTGTGTTTCCAGTGTATGAATTAAATCCTGTTTCATTTCGTCAAATGGTAAAAACAGTGTGAATTTCACAAGAAACATCAAGAGGAACAGTTCAAAAGCGATCAGCAAGAAAACTGCAGAAGCTGCTGGGCTCATGATGGTGCACAACTGGCAGTGTGTGTTTGCTCAAACATTTATATATTTGTAGAATTTGACAATTCATATAATGAAAAACTTTTTCAAATGTTGCACTGACAACAAATACATTTTTTAGGTGATTAGAGTGTTTTTATTTTTACATGTTTGAATATAAATATTGTGCTTTTTATTTAATATATATAAATATTATGAATAAGCAAAAAATATAGATTACTATAAACCAAAACAAAAAACAAACAAAAAAAAAATCAATTGAAATTTGGCCATTGCAAATAACTAAAAAAAGCTTTAAATGCAAAAAAGACAAGAGGCTGTAAAAAGGTGAAAATCTAAATATTATAAATAAGTATAAAAAAAAAAAAAAAAAAAATATATATATATATATATATATATATATATATATATATATATATATATATAATCATTATTATTAATATTATAAGTAAACTAAAGAAATATAAAATATTCAACTGAAATGTGACCATTGAAACTGGCTAAATTAAATGTTTTAAATGCAAAAAAAAGACAAGAGCATGTAAAAAATAAAGAAAATCTAAATCTAAAAGTTTTCAAATTATTAATTGAATAAATAAAGTGTATGAATAATACAATATTCTTAATTACCTGTAGATATAAAGCAGAATAAATGAATGTATAAATAAATAAACAGATCAAAGAGTTTTTATAGTACTGATTCAATATGAATAAATAGTCTATAAATAATGCAACATGTTTTAAACAATATGATTTGTTACTGAAAGCAAAATAAATAAATAAATAAGACAATCTAAATATAACCTTTCACGTTAATGATTCAATAAAAATACATATTAGTGTAAAAATACAATATATTTTTAAAATTTTTATATTTGATTTGTTACTGAAATAAATAAATAAACAAATTAATTACAACATAGCACGTAATATAAAAAGGTTTTCATATTATTACATATTATTATGTATAAATACATAATAAACTGTATAAATTAAACAATATTTAAAAAAAATTAAATTTTAGATTTGTTACTAAAATAAAGAAAAATAAATAAATACATCTAAATAAGTTTTTTTTATTACTGCTTCAGCATAAATAAACATTAAAGTCTATAAATAATAATAAAATATTTAATTTGGAACTGAAATAAAGATAAATAAATAAATAAATCTAAATAGGTTTTCATATTAATGCTTTAATATAAATACATAATAAAGTGTATAAATACAACAATATGTTTAAACAATTGAATATCTGATTTGCTACTAAAATAAAGCAAAATAAATAAATAGATAAATAAATAAATACAAAAATAAATAAATCTAAATAGGTTTTCATATTATTGCTTCAATATAAATACACAAAGTGTATAAATATTACAACATTTTTTAAACAAATATCTGATTTGTTACTAAAATAAAGCTAAATAAATAAATAAATAGGTTATCATTTTACTGCATCAGCATAAATAATTACTAAAGTGGATAATAATACTAATTTTTTAACACACACACACACACACACACACACACACACACACACACACACACATATATATTGTTTGTTTTTAGAACAGGAAAACAAACAAACAAAATAAGTAAATAAATAAAATCTAAATATTATTACATCTAAACAATATTTAGTTGTATATCTAATATTAAGTAATATATTTAGTAATATGTATCTAAATATATATTACTAAATATTTAAATAATTGATTTGGAAAGGAAATAAAGCAAAATAAATAAATAAAATAGGTTTTCATATTACTGCATCAGTATAAATGCATAATTAAGTGTATAAATTAAACTAATATTTTTCATGAATTAAACATCTGATTTGTTACAGCAAAACAAATAAATCAATAGAAACAAACAAATGAATGAATAAACAATTAAAATCTAAAAAAACTAATCTAGAAATAAATCTAAAAATAAAATCTTTCTAATGTATATTTTCTAACATTATTAATTTCTAACATATTGTTAAACATAACAGTGTATAAATAACCGGCACACACATATTTGCAAGCAAATCTATCAATATTTCACTGTTGTTTTTAGCAGCACACCACCGTCCAGCAGCTTCTGTCCTCACAGCAGGATCTACAGAGTTCAGCAGGTTTAGTCAGAATTATAAAGCGCTCCGAGAGGTCAGAAGTCAGAGGTGGAGGTCAAACCGAGCCGTGACCTCCATCACTGACCGTCACGTGTGCTTGTGTCTGTCTGTCAGTCTCTCAATCCAAATGCATGTGGAAGGATTTCTCAGATTCACTGATTGTGAGATGAAGGAGGGAGAAAGACACAAACACAATGACCAAATAATAAAAATAAAAAAAACAACAACCAAGAGCTTCAAGAGTAAAAAAACAGCAACTTTAACCTGAAGAAAAGACACAATTAAAGCTGAGCTCTTTTATTTTAAGGCCAGATGCGGTTTTGATATTGTATTATCATTCTTATAAAATTAATTAAATGTTTATAAATCTAAAATATTGAAGCTAAATTAGCCTGTATAATTATAAATATTCATAATTCTATAATAACGTGCTACTATTAATGAGTAATTTTGTTTTTCTCTCTGACTCTTGGTTGTTTTTAGCAGGTTTAAAGCGTGTTTAGACGGCTGAGGAATCCCATGATTCCATGCAGCCCATTATGAGGGAGGAGGAGGAGGAGGAGGAGGAGGGTGAAGCCAAGCAGATGATGATGATGCTAAACATACACACACACATATAAAGACAAACAGGACAGCGAAATAGCAAACGAACAGAAGAGAAGATGGAGCACTGCAGCACCTCTTAAACCAGATCCTCAGACAGCATGTGGCTAAGCTAATTATGCATTCGGATTTTAATCATTTCTAATGCTTGAATTATAATGCAGTATAGCATAAAACGCCTGCAAAAGAAGTTTTATTAAACACTAAAATTTAAAACTATATTTTCAATGAATTAACTAATACAATTAAAAAATATATATTTCCCTCATTATATACACTTTATTATTATTAGACATTACGATTTACCAATAATTCAATTTAATTCATGTTTATTTCTATAGCACTTTTACAATGTAGATTGTGTCAAAGCAGCTTCACATAGAAAGTGAAAAGAATTTGAAAGAAAATTGAAAGAATTTAAATTATTAATATCTGAATTATATCGTACATGTCAGTAATTAAATCATGAAAACATTTCATTTATTTGTTTACTAACAATACACTTTAATTGAATTGGTTTATTAATACTACTACTGTATTTTTACAGAGATACAGCAATTAAATAATAATGATAAATTATACAATTTGATCAACATATATTGTTTTACTTAAATAAAATAGATTTTTTTTATTATCATCATTATTACCATAATCGTAATTGTAAAATAAAATAAAGATTTTGAAAAATAACATTTATTTCACTAGATAAAATGTATTTTTGTAGGCGATATGTAAAATATATACAGTATGCAAAATAAATAAAATGCATTCTAATATTTTCTAAGCTTTATTCTAATTTCATTTTGAAATAACTTTAAGCTTGTAAAATGTATTATTATTCTACATTCACAGAAAATATATAAATATTATATATAGTTATATTTGCCTGTAATAATAATATCAAATAATTATGATCATTATCATAATTATTAATTTAGTAAAAATAATAAGTAATCATGATAGTTATTATTATTATCAATAATTAATATATGCATGTACAATAATGGTATACATGCATATATCAATTATTGATAACAATATAAATAATAATAATACTTATTATTTTATTAATATTATAAACAATATATGAATTTATAATAATAATATACATTATACATCATACATATATACATAATATACATCATACATATTTTATTATTAGTATTCATTAATATATACATGTATAATAATTAAAATTATCTTATTATTATTAATAATAATAACTATTATTATTTTTATTATTATTATTATTATTATTATTAGTAGTAGTAGTAGTAACAAATCATTATTTATTGTTATTATCAATAATATATGCTTGCATACAATTATTATAAATGCATATATTAATTATTGATAATACTAAAATAATAATAATAATAATACTGTTTTATTATTACTATTATTATCAATAATTAATATATGCATGTATATTAATTGTATACAAGCATATATTATTGATAATAATAAATATTTATTATTAATAACTTAATATTAGTAGTAGTAATAATAATAATAATAATAATAGTAATAATAATAATAGTTTTCGGAGGCTTCAGCGGTGTTGCAGACAGAAAAAACTCAGCATGATGTTGATTTTGGTAAGAGACGCATTAAGATTAAGCAAAGCAGAAGCGAATGGTTGATTGATGGCTTGTAAAGCTT